ACATAGGGCTTGGAGGTGATTCTTTCTGATCTGGCTGGAAAGATGGCCACCAGCCATTGGCAGCAGGTGCCAGCCAGGTTTACTTTGCAAGCAGGCTTTCCCTGCCTGGGAGCCAACCACCCGGTTCTGCTAGCAGAAGCCATGCTTATGGTGGTGGGTTTTGTTCCCTGTTCCACTTGGGCTCTGGTTGTCCTCCCATCCCCACCAGAACTCTTCCCATGTGGGACTGACAACTTGTGCACAACTGGGAGGGGGTGAACTGACCCAAAGTGTCTTAGGATCACTCACTCACTCTTGTTCACTGGGCAGGGCTTTGGTTATTGTACCAGCCTGGCGCATGGCAGGGGATGGAGCACCCAGACTCCTGTGTCTGCTGTCACTTTCTGGTCTCTATGTGTTCAAAAAGACCTTTGCTGGGTGCAGGGTCCTCACTCATCCAAAAGTGTTTGGGATGTCTCTGTCTATTGGTGACTGGTTCTACTCTCTGCCTTGTTCAGCAAGAGAGGCGCTGGTCTGCTGCTCCACAGTGGTCATCTTAGATCCTCTCATATAAGATGCTTTTACTTGGGTTCCTATATGTAAGAGGCATAGGAATATTATGTAATACCAGTCATGCAACACCTAACAATGTTTCAGTGAATGATGGACTATATATATGACAATGGTGGTCCCATGAAATTATAATGGAGTATATGTGGAAACCTGATATAGCAATTGATACTGACATTGTGAGTCAAGTAGGGGAAATGATTTATATTCAGTAATGGGACAAATGGGACATTTGTTTTTTCATATAAAATGTATACAAATTATATATATATATATATATATATATATATATAGTCACCAACCAAGTTTGTGTAACTATACTCTGTGATATTTGCACAACAATGAAATCACCTAATAATTATTTCTCAGAATGTATTCCTATTGTTTAAGCAACACATGATTGTACAATATTAAATAATATTTAAAATAAAAGCATTTTATGAAATTTTATATAACAAATGTAAGCAGAGCAAAAGCAACTTTCCAATTACCCTAGGTAACTTCAAAAATGGACTTGAACAGTAGGAGAAATTTTGATCAGACTAGTAAATGGAATTTAAGAGTACTTGATCAGTTCCTGGCAACATATATAGCATCTACCTAGTCCTTGGGAACTATTTATACATCATATTCAGTAACTTTTAACAATGTCTTTTACCTCAACCTACTATTGTTAAGGGCCCTGGGAATCAGGTATTCAACAAATAATTGTCAGGAGGCTGTTATATGTCCTGCATCTGTTAGGGCTCATAACAAAAACATTAATGACCATGATGGATAGATAAAATAACTTGGCACAGTGAATGTCACCATAAAAGAATTGATAGCACTGTGACTATGGTGAGCCATATTTTGGGATAACAGGTTGATATCAAATGATCACATTTTAGGTTGGGCACAGTGGCTCACGCCTGTAATCCTAGCACTTTGGGAGGCTGAGGCAGGAGGATTGCTTGAGGCCAAGAGTTTTAGACTAGCCCGGGTACCATAGCGAGACCTGGTCACTACAAAAAAATAAATAACTTAGCCTGGCATGGTGGCACGTGCCTGTAGTCCCAGCTACTCAGGAGGCTGAGGTGGAAGGATGCCTGAGCCCCGGAAGTCTATCCTGTGAGCTGTGATCATGCCACTGCACTCCAGCCTGGACAAGAGAGTGAGACTCCAACTCAAACAAAAAGAAAAAAAAAAAGATCGCACTCTGTAGTTCTGCTAGCAATCAATCAGAGTTTAAGGTGCCACCAGAATTGTGGTTACCCATTTTATGAGTGTCAGTGTCAGTGCTGATCCAGGCCTCTCAGTCTACCATTGTGACCTGTTCTCAGAGGGATTCTCACATTTCATCTTAGTGTTTGTCATATTGATCTTGGGTGGGCCATAAATTTTAAAGGAGCTAGTGAGAAAAATGGGAGATGTCTTTTTTTCTGAACTGTTTGCACATTGCAGACATGATGTTTATATTGTTTTTAAGTCATTTTCAGATTATGTATTTGTTCTTTGCATTACACCAGATACAGAACCTCCTACCAGTTTTGAGTATCAGGTTGGAAATTATTTCTTGAAAGTTTTGGAATCATTTCTAATTGTTGCCTCAAGTGCAGGAAAGTCAACTTTCATTTTAATTCATTTAAGCATAAGTAGTGTTGTTACAGCCTATAGAAAAGTTAATTAAAAGAAACCAGCTGGTTTATTCTTTGTGACCTTTTAACACCTCCACTGCCTCTGTGGAAAATGGAAACCTTTGCTCTTTTTATTTCCACACTCACAGGAGTTAAGGTCACAATTTTATGGATCTTTGTTTTTAGGTCATACTGAGGTAGTTAAAAGGGACTACCTCTAAAGTTCCAGAGTGTGAAAATTGCAGATGGTATGTCAGGTTATCTCTGGTACCTGAAATAACTAATCTTCTCTGGAATAAGGTGTAAAGTGATGGGCAAAATAAACTTTTTTTTAATTGTCCAAGTTCATAATTAAGTCTTGATAGTAATTATGAGGGAATTAGGGAAGTTTCTGTCTAGATTAAAATAATTATTTTATCCAAAGCCATAGCTATTTCTTTTTGGCAAGTGAGCCTCCTTTTTGAATTCTTTAACCTAGCAGTGGTACTGTTTGGTAAATTTCACCATCTATGTTCTAAATACTGCACTCATGATCTGAATCTCTGAATCAATGACTTTCTAAAGTGATTCACTTAAGACTAGAGACTGACTAATTTAGGAACACTTTATTCAAAATGTCCTTTGCTATACCCAGACTAGCATCTCTGTCATTACCTGGGAACTTGGTGGAAATGCAGAATCTCAGGCCCCACCCTAGATGTCCTGAATCAGAATCTGCATTTTAACAAGATCCCCCAGGTGACAGTATGTGCATTAAAGTTTATGAGGCGTTATTATACTGATTTGAGAATTCTAATCATCTATAGGGGAAATAGTCAGGCTTTTATTAAAGTTTCTTCTAAACATGCTCTTCTCCAGTATCCTCAAAATAACTCTGCTATGCAGGGGTTCCTTTGTGCACTAACCAAATAGACCGAACAAGTGCTTTGTCTAAGGGAGAAAAGAAAAGACAGATTAGTGGAAATTTATACATCACCTCTTTACTTACTTATTTCTGCAGGGGAGGACAGGATCTTTTGTTTGTTTGTTTGTTTGTTTGCAGGTGCAGGGATCTGTTAGAATAATTTCTCCCTTCCTAGCAGATGATTGATACTGCAGTGAGTAAACTAAAACAGAATAGGAGATTTTCTGAGATTGCAGGGGAGCTTATGGGATGATGTGAGCTTCCATAGTTCGTAAATATTTTATGTAGAGATTCTCTGAATACTCCTTTGTGCAAAATGAAGACTACTGCTGACCTACCCCTTGCCTCTTCTTCCACTGTCCATAACAACATTTTTTAAAATTAAGTAATTTATTTATTATAAAGATGTGGGGCACAATTCAGGGTTAGGTATATAAACATTGATCATGCAGGTACCCTTGTTGATGAGGTATGCCCCTCCCTCCCCTAGCAGTTTCCCTCAACTCCCAGTCTCACACCACCTTCCCTGACAGCTTTCTACTACTGTCAATCGCTTTCTTATAGCATTATAATTGTTCAAGGTCACCTTATGAGTGAGAACATATGGAACTCAATTCTTTGTTTCTGTGCTAAATCACTGAGTATGATCGACTCCAAATCCTTCCAAGTTGCTGCAAAGTCCATATATTTGTCCTTCTTTATGGCTGCATAATATGTCATTGTGTATATGTACCACATTTTCATAACGATATTTTAAATGTTAAAAATACTATATATTTGTGTTAAAAATTCAAACAATATAGAAGCATAGGTAGAGGGATTTTATTCATCTGCCTGTCATTCTATTCCTGCTTTAACCTCATTCCCCAGAAGTAGTCACTGTTAATAATTTGGTATGTAGTTTTCTTATACATATTCTCATATATGAGTATGCTCAAAAAAATTTTTTTGGGACAAGGTTTCACCTTGTCACCCAGGCTGGAGTGCAGTGGCATAATCACAGCTCACTATTTTTTTTTTTTTTTTGAGTTAGAGTCTCTGTCGCCCAGACTGGAGTGCAGTGGCTGCTTCTGGCCACCGCAGCCTCAACCTGCTGGGTTCCAGTGATCCTTCCACCTCAGCCTTCCAAGTAGCTGGAACTACAGGCACGTGCTACCACACCCAGCTAATTTTTTGATTTATTGTGGATATGAGGTCTCACCAAGTTGCCCAGGCAGGTCAGGCAATCCACTCACCTCAGCCTCTCAAGGCGCGGGATTACAGGCTGAGCCACCGAGCCAGCTACAGCTCACTATGAACTCCTGGGCTCAAGTGATTCTCCTGTCTCAACCTCCCAAGCAGCTGGGATTACAGCTGCATGCCACCATGCCTGGCTAATTTTTCTATTTTTCTGTTTTGTTTTGTTTTTTTGTAGAGATGAGATCTCAATTTGTTGCCCAGGCTTGTCTTTCTCCCACATCAGCCTTCCAAATTGCTGGTACTACAAGCATGAGTCACTACACCTGGCCCCAAAAAGTTTTTAAAACATTATACTGCAATACTGTTTTGCAGATTGCTTTTTATTTTACTTAATATATCATGAATTGCTTTAGTGTCAGTATATAAATCATCTATATGATGATAAAAGTTCATTATAAAAATAAGAATTATTCATTAGCAAACCACTCTAGCTGGGGTTTGGAGTGGAGATAATGGCTGGAAGATCTAAAGTTTTGTTTGTTCAGTTAGCTCACATTTTCAAGGGAACCGATATGAGTATTACTAAAATTAGAAGTTACTGCTGGGAAGTTATTGCTGAGGGCTGGTAGGACCTTGCTGATTTTAAAGGAATGGATTAGCAGTGCCTGGAGGTGTGGATTGTTATGCGTGACAAGGATGCAGCTGAAGAATGATCAATACTGCAAATGAAAAGAATCTTTCCTTTCTACCAGAAACGAATGAGCCATTGGTAGTACTAGCTCAGCCCTCATCGGAAATGCCACTTTTGACTTCAGTGAACGAATTGTATACTAAAATGATGACACCAGCTCATGAAAAGGAGGAGACAAAGACTTCATCTAAGTGTTACATACAGGTCACTGGCATGACTTGTGCTTCCTGTGTAGCAAACATTGAACGGAATTTAAGACGAGAAGAAGGTGAGACACTCTTGAAGCTTGTTTTTTTGTGTACTTGCTTGGGAACTCTGACCTTTTTGTTCTCTTGTGTTTTATAACCATGTTTATGATTCTTGCCAAGACCTCACAAAGACTATCAGTATGTGCAGGGCAACCCTGATTTCCTGACAAACAGTTTTTGTTAGTAGTTTGTTCCCATAGATAAAGTCCCTATCTCATTTGCCTCATGATCACATTTTTATGTCCATGAAATCTGTAGAGATAGCAGAAGGAAATATACAAGATTCCTATTTTTTATGGACCTTGGCTGCATTGAACTTTAAGAAACATTAATTTTCTTCTAATGCTGTGCTTAAAAGTGACAATTGGAATCCATGAGTTTCAGTATTGCCATGCGTGGACCAATCACCAGACCCAAAGCTTGGAATCATATTATTCTCTTTGCATGTGGTAAAAATGCTCAAAATTTACTTAATATTGTGTACAAGTTTTAATTTTAGTTGACAAAATCTTAGAAAATCTGCAATGCAGTTTTTTATTCAGTCATACTCAGATGTTTTGGCTTATAAATTTGCACTCGTTTTTATCAGATTTCCCAGTATAGCATAGTAGATTTAGTTAACCATACAGATATGGTTATGTTTAATGAGACCAAAGTCATAGATTTGGTACTTATGCTGCCATGCTGTTAGTCACAGGGTTGTATAAAGAAGTAAGGATTAGTGTAAGCTTATCCCCACAATTGAGGAAATAATGCAGTTTATGTAGTAATCACATCACCTTATATTTTAAGGAAAGAATATTATTATAAAAAAAGTTTGGTATACCCAGCCATCTTTAATTCAATATTATCTTGTCCATCTTCTGTCATTTCTGCATTCTTCATTTTATCCTCCATTATTTCTAACTGAAATGCAATCAAACCTAAAGTTTATATTACCCTTTTTTGATTAATAAAAACAGAAAAGGAGGGAGATTGCCAAGCAAATAAAAACAAAAAGAAGCTTGCAAAGCTCCTGTTTAATTTAAGAGCTGACTATATTTAAACAATTCAAAAATAGCCTTTTTCATGAAACAAGCAATGCCTATGCCAATTACAAATTGTTTTTTAATTCATTAAGCTGATTCTTTCAATTACTCCATACTATCTCTTTTACTATCTCTCAACCCAATTAGGAATAAAATTAGTCCAGCTGGGGTTACTACATTCACTTTTTTTTTTTTTAAACTAAGTAGCATTGGTGTTCCCTCAGTTTGGGCTGCATTATATTTTTAAAAATGAATAGAAAGAGTTCTTATAGTTTGAAGAGTTTTAAAAATTATTTGTAATTTACATAAGTATTAAACTTATGTTTTGAAATTTGAAAGATCAGAATTTTCCTTCTATTTCTGTTTGACTATAGATTACGTTCAACTGAAGCAAAAGGATTTTTTCCTACTTTCTCTATACTTGTTTCTTATTGCTGACACTTTCCTGTGAACTGATCATCTGAATTGTTTGGTACCCACAAAACCCAAAATATGAGCACTTTATAGATAACTTAGATTATATTAGGTACTTACAAGTTTTCTTATGTAAAACTATTATTAAATTAATATTTGGTCATTTTTTCTTTTTTATCAGACCCCAGAGTTGACCTATGGACTATTGATTCCCATTCCCTGTCAGGTAGCCACCAAATGCCACAGAAAAGGCTGCTGTTTCTGCTATGTAGAATTAATTTTCTTCCTGGCAATGACAGCAATTTCTGGCCTAGAGAAGTGAAATGATTGTTAACAAAAGGTTTGCACCAGCCAACAGCATGACTGCCATAAAATGAACTCCTTTGTTTTGTTAACAAATTGTATGGCACTGTTTTTTCCCCCCCAGGAATAAGAACTATTTAGATTAATGTGTGCCAGACAGTAAAACTTGAAAATTTTAAAAAACTATTGTTTGATATATTATAATGTGTATATTGATACAGTCTTGGATTCTTTCTTACAGTTGTTATGATTTAGTAAGTGCATGAGTTCCTCTCTCTAGGACTCTGTCTTATTAGTTTCTAAAAATGCTATATATTTACAAGATAAAGTCTCAACCAAGTCTAATTCATAGGTCTTATTTGGATCTTAATTCAAACAAAATGTTGTTACACTAATAAACAGTAATAAGACAATTGAAGAAATGTGAATACTGCCTGAATATTTGATATTAAAATTTATTTTATTTTAGGGGTGAAATGGTATTATGGTTATTTTTATTTATTTTTAGTTTTTGGTACTGTGGTTATTTTTAAAGAATCTTTATCTTTTAGAGATACATATTTAAGTATTAGCATATGAAATTATATAATGTCTGGGACTTGCTCAAACATAACTCAGGTAGAGGACTGGGAGTGGAGCATGTATGAATATGGAGAAAATGAGCTGGGCGCAGTGGCTCACGCCTATAATCCCAACACTTTGGGAGGCTGAGGTGAGAGGATTGCCTGAGCCCATGGGTTCAAGACCAGCCTGGGCAACTTGGCGAGACTTCACCTCTACAATAAATAAAAACATTAGCCGGGCATGGTGGCACATGCCTGTAGTTCCAGCTACTTGGAAATCTGAGGCAGAAGGATCGCCTGAGCCCAGCAGGTTGAGGCTGCGGTGGTCGGGAGCATGCTACTGTCCTCCAGTCTGGTTGACGGAGTGAGACTCCAACTCAAAAAAAAAAAAAAAAGAATATGGGGAAAATGAGATTAGCCAAGCATTATTGACGCTGAGTGATGGATACATCAAGTTTACTATGTTTTTCTCTCATATATAATGTATATTATATAGATAATTGAAAATTTTCATAATTCAAAGTTTAAGAAAATAAGCCTACTTTTTAAAGTAAATCTATTTGATTTGGATTTGGGTTCAAGACAGGTATAAAAGTAAAGTAATAAATTTCTTCAGCTTCATTTTGATCTTTTTATAAATAAATGAAAAATACTAAATAATTTTAACATTCCTCTTTTTTAAAAAGAATGTTATCTGTATTGTTTTTCCTATCAATGTTCCTAGGAATATATTCTGTACTTGTGGCACTGATGGCTGGCAAGGCAGAAGTAAGGTATAATCCTACTGTTATACAGCCCCCAATGATAGCAGAGTTCATCCGAGAGCTTGGATTTGGAGCCACTGTGATAGAAAATGCTGATGAAGGGGATGGTGTCTTGGAACTTTTTGTAAGTAAGAATTTTTGTATAATTAATAAAATTTCTAGCTGGATGCAATGGCTCATACCTATAATCCCAGCAGTTTGGGCAGCTGAGGCTGGAGGATTGCTTGAGGTCAGGAGTTCAAGACCAGCCTGGACAACATAGCAAGACCTCATCTCTACAAAAAAAATAAAATAAAATAACATTTCTTAGAAAAACTTAGTGAAAGATCAGAGAAGAGTTCTGAAGATAAAGATTGGGAAAATAAGACATATAACAAAAATTAAAGAAACTGGGAAATGGAAAGATGAGCTATGACTTAATGGTCTTCAATCATGGAATGTAAAGGTAATTGTCATATCTTATTAGCCAAAAAATAATCAAGTTTGAGTTAACAAATAAAAATCAACTTTAAAAATGTATGAGTCCTATCAAGTAGCATGTGAAAGAATAAATTCCAGATGACTCAAGACTTAAATTGTATAAATGAAGTCATAAAACCAGGTGTAGGGCATATTGGTTTAAAGTGGTAATTTTCTCCAACCCAGCAAATAAACTGCTAGGGTTCTTTCCTATGGAAATAAGCACATGTAAGGTTATATTTATTATATAATTTTAAAAGCAAAAATTATAACCAAACTATATTAAATGTTCTTTAACAGAAAATGATAAGATAAATTACAGCTTTTTTTTTTTTTGAGTTGGAGTCTCTATCACCCAGGCTGGAGTGCAGTGGCACACTCACAGCTACCCCAGCATCGACCTGCTAGGCTCTGGCGATCCTTCTGCCTCAGCCTTCCAGGTAGCTGGCTTGCGCTACCGCCTGCTAATTTTTGATTTATTGTAGAGAGGAGGTCTCACCAACACCAAGTTGCCCGGGCTGGTCTCCAACCCATGGGCTTAGGCAATCCACTCACCTCGGCCTTCTTTTTTTTTTTTTTTTTTTTTTGAGTTGGAGTCTACTCTGTTGCCCAGACTGGAATGCAGTGGCCACTCCCGGCCACCACAGCCTCGACCTTCTGGGCTCTGGTGATGCTTCCGCCTCAGCCTTCCAAGTAGCCGGAATTACAGGCATGTGCTACTACGCCCGCCTGATTTTTTGATTTATTGTAGAGATGAGGTCTTGCCACCCAGGCGGGTCCTGAACCCGCAGGCTCAGGCAATCCACTCACCTCAGCCTCCCAAAGGTGCGGGATTACAGGCTGAGCCCACCGAGCCTGGCCACGGCTTTTTAAAAGAGTAAAATAGATCAATGTTAACTGGCAAGCAAAGATCTTCAGGACATATTATTTAGTGAAACAGAACAAGTTGCAGTACAATACTTATAGTATAATGCCAGTTAATAAAAAATACAAAACTATATGTATATGTACTTATATAATATATATGTATATAAACACCTAGAGAAGCCATTGATTTATACACATGATTAACAATGTTTATGTCAGGAAGAGATTGGGATTGAGGGGGAAGAGTAAAGAGAAACTTGTATCTTTTCAACGTTTGAAATTTTTACAACTAGAATGTATTTAAGTTTTGTTGTTGTTGTTGTTGACTTGGAGTCTCACTCCGTCACCCAGACTGGAGTGCAGTGGCCGCTCCCGGCCATCGCAGCCTTGACCTGCTGGGCTCTGGTGATCCTTCCGCCTCAGCCTTCCAAGTAACTGGAACTACAGGTGCACGGTACCACGCCCGGCTAATTTTTTGATTTATTGTAGAGATGAGGTCTCGCCAAGTTGCCCAGGCGGGTCTTGAACCCGCGGGCTCAGGCAATCCACTCACCTCAGCCTCCCAAAGCGCTGGGATTACAGGCTGAGCCACCAAGCCTGGCTGTATTTAAGTTTTATTTGTATGAGGGGGGACCCCAAAATACTCAGAATTATCTTTTGGAGGCTGGGCTCCTTGTAGTATACTTGGAATTTGTTCCTTCAGATCAAACTATCAACCAAAAGATTTTATCTGGAAGTTCTGAGAAGGTTGTGTCACGATTTGCAGAAGAAACATCCTGAGTTGTGGCAAACAGGTAACTGGTTCTTCCACCATGACAGTGCACTTGCCCACACCACGCTGAGTGTTCAGCAGTTTTTGTTTTTTTTAATCAAAAATGGTGTAATCCCCATGTCCTACCCTCCCTATTCACCCCATCTTGCCCCGAGTGACTACCAGAACAAAAAAATATGAAAAAAGTCCTCAAAGGGAAACTTTTTGCCAATGTGGAAGAGGTGAACCAAAAAATGACAGAAGCACTAAAAGGCATCAAAATTGATGAGTTCAAAAATGGTTTTGAGCAGTGGAAAAAGTGCCTTAGTAGATGTATTGCAGCAAACAGAGAATACTTTGAAGGTGTCTGAAAGGTAAACATGTAAGAATAAATATACAACTTTTAAAAATTCTGGTTTTGGGTCTTCTTTTGTATAATTTAAAAATTAAGACAAAACTTTAATCTTGTACAAAAATAAGTTCTAGTTTAAGCAAAAATTTGAATGTAAATAAGGAACCCATGAAATTACTAAAAAAAAATTTGGAGATTTTTCCCAATATTTTATTATAAAACTTTCAGACACAAAGAAAAGTATCTAATACATCATTTAAAAAATAGAAGGTCCTTTCTAAAATATGATACAAAACCCATAAAATATAAGATTGGTAAAAATTTCTTCTTTGGAGAAAAACACTGTAAAGAAAGTCAAAAGCAAGTAAAATAGTTATAATTCATGTTATAGATGAAGGTTAATTTCTTTTTAAAGCAAAATTATTTATTTAATTTATAGAGACAGAATCTTATTCTGTTGCCCAGGCTGGAGTGCAGTAGCACAATCATAGCTCACTGCAGCCTCAAGCTTCTACACTCAAAAGATCCTCCCGCCTCAGCCTCCTGAGTAGCTAGGACTACAGGCATGTTACACTGCACCCTGCTAATTATTATTATTATTATTTAAAAGTCTTTGCAAAGCACAGTTACTTTTATACTAATTTTCTTTTTTATATACGTATATTTTATTTTAAGATGTGGGTTACAATTCAGGATTAGGTATACAAGTGAACATCATACAAGTAAAGTTTGGGCCTCCCTTTGATCCCCACTTTGCCTGGTTTGAGTCTCCAAGTACCCTTATGAATGTTGTGTCGCCAATCCCACCCCAGCAGTATCCTGCTACTGCTAATCCCTTTCTTATAGTATTATGGTAAGCGTACAGAGTCTGCTTATGAGTGAGAACATGTGGTACTTTGTTCTTTGTTTCTGTGATAGATCACTGAGTATAATAGACTCTAAATCCATCCAAGTTGCTGCAACGTCCATATGTTTGTCCTTCTTTATGGCTGCATAATATTCCATTGTACATATATACCACACTTTTTTTATCCAGTCCAGTTTTGGTGGGCAGTATAGTTGGTTCCATGTTTTTGTTATTGTGACTAGTGAAGCATAAACATGCATGTACAGGTGTCTTTTTTATAGAATGATTTGAGTTCCTCTAGGTATATTCCCAGTAGTGCATTGGCTGGGTCATATGGAAGGCCAATGTCTAGTTCTTTTAGAAATCACCACATTGTTTTCCATAGAAGTTGAACTAGTTTGCATTCCCACCATCAGTGTAGAAGTGTTCCCTTTTCTCTGCATCCTCACCAGCATCTGTTATTCTTTGTTGTATTAATGGTGGCCATTCTTACTGGGGTTAGGTGGTATCTCAGTGTGGTTTTGATTTGCATTTCTCTGATGATTAGTGAGGCTGAGCACTTTTTCATGTGTCTGGTGGCTGCCTGTATATCTTCTTTTGAGAAGTGTCTATTCATATCTTTTGCCCACTTTGTAATGCAGCTGTTTGGTTTTTTTTTCTTTCAGCATATTTGAGTTCCTTGTAGATTCTTGATGCTAGGCCTTTGTCAGATATACAGTTGACAAATATTTTTTCCCATTCTGTGGGCTGTCTCTCCACTCTCTTGATGGTTTCTTTAGCTTTTCAGAAGCTTGTCAGTTTGATGAGGTCCCACTTCCCTTATGGCATGGACACTTGGGGTTTTGATCAAGAATTGGTTGCCAGTTCCAATTTCTATAAGGGTGTCTCCTGCATTTTCTTTTTTATTTTATTTTTTATTTATTGTAGAGATGAGGTCTCACCAAGTTACCCAGGCTGGTCTTGAACTCGTGGGCTCAGACAATCCTCTCACCTTGGCCTTGCAAAGTGCTGGGATTATAGGCGTGAGCCACCGTGCCTGGCTTATTTATTTATTTTAAATTATTTTTTATTTTTAAAAATTTTATTTAAAGATGTGGTATACAGTTCAGGGTTAGGTACGCAAATGTTCATTATGCATGTACCCTTGTTGATGGGGTGTGCCCCCCTCCCCTGGCAGATTCCCACTAATGCCAATCCCACCCCCGCCCTCCCCTGACAGTTTCCCACTACTGCCAATCCTTTTCTTACAGTATTACTATAATTGTTCAAGGACCGCCTATAAGTGAGAACATGTGATACTCAGTTCTTTATTTTTGTGATAGGTCACTCGTATTATAGATTCTAAGTCCATCCAGGTTGCTGTGAAGTTCATAATTTTGTCTTTCTTTATGGCTGTGTAATATTCCATTGTGTATCTTTACCACATTTAAAAAAAAATCCTGTCCTCTTTAGATGAGCAGCACAGTTGGTTCCATGTTTTTGCTATTGTGAATAATACTTCAGTAAACATGCATGCACAGGTATCCTTTTCATAAAGTGATTTGAGTTCCTCTAGGTATATTCCCATTATGGGGACTGCTGAGTCATATGGAAGGTTGATTTTTAGATCTTTTTTTTAATCAATATTTTTTATTATGATTTTGTGGGGTACAGTTAGGGGTTAGGTGTACAATTATGTTTCATTCAGGCACCCTGTTGATAAGAGGTGTTTCCCCATCCCCAGACAGATATTTGTGAATGTTAATCCCATCCCCCTCCCCCCGAATAGTTTCCCAGTACCGTCAGTCATTTTCTTATAGTATTACATTGAATGTTCAAGGTCCATTATATGAGTGAGAACATGTGATA